CGGGGCCGACCCCGCGCTCCCCGGGGAGCCGGCCAGGGCCTGGGGGTTTCCCTAACGCGCCGCGCGCTGGGGCCTTCCACTCCGCGGGATGGAGGGAGGCGTCCTCCCCTCCCGTCCCCTCTCCCAGCCCTCTCCACGCCGTCCCCCTCCGACATTCTGGGTTTCCTCTCACTTTTCCGCTCCCCGGCCCGGCGTCTGGCCGGTCAGGACGTCCTCGGCCACCGGGAAGCCCTCGGCAGCCTAGTGACACGAGCTAACTTTCTGGAGAGCCGCAACCCCCTCCCACGGCCCCATCCGCGGGCGCGCGGGGCGCGAGGCTGGCGGGGGGACAACCCCAGGTTCATCGCGGCGTTTTCCGGCACGACTGGGCCGCGCGCGTCGGTCTCCGGAAAATTCCAGTGTAGTCCAGAAAAGAGCCCGGGGTGGACGGGGGAGGGCCCGGGCTGCCCCGCTCCACCTCAGCCCGGGTCCCCGGCCCGGCCCCTCCCGCTTCCCCTCCGCCCGGCCTCCCCAGCCGCAGAATCTGCTCAGTTCGGTTCTTGGAAACTTCTGGACAAAAGCAGAGTTGGCGGCCCTTACTCCGTGGGACTGTTTGGCGGGGCCGAGAGGCCTGGCCCGCCGGGGAGGAGGAGGGCGGGGTCCCGGAAGCGGGGGTCCCGCGGACCGCCGCGCCGCCGCCTCCTCTCCATCCTTCTTCCCCCCCCCCCTCCCCTCCCAGCGGCGCGCGGCCTCCGGCGGCCGCTCCCAGCCCGCCCTCCCCGCCCTCTCGCTCCCCGCCCTCCCGCTCCCCTCCCTCGCTCTCGACCGTCCAGCCCCGGAGGTTTTCCCCCGCTGCCCCCTCCCCCGTCACACCCTTCCCCGCCCCCACTCCCGCCGGCCTCCTTTGTCTCAGGGACCTGGGACCCCCCCCTCCTGGGTGGGCGGTGCGGGCCGTCCCTCCTCCCCGCCCGCACCCGCCCAGGGTAGGGTCGGGACGGAGGCCAGGCCTGGCCGAGGACTGAGGGCCTCGGGGTTCCGGGCCGCAACACGTGGGCGCGGGCGGGGTGCGGGGTTGCCGGAAGCCCCGGGGCCCGGAGGCCCGGCTCCTCAACTTTCTTTCTTCAGCTTCCTCGGGCAGCCGCCAACAATCGGAGACCAGGCCGGCCCGGAGCGCCGGCGGGGGGGGGGGGAGGGGGGCGTCGAGGCCGGGCGAGGCCCGCACTGGGACTGGGAGGAACCGGTGCTGGACGCAAACCCCAGCGGCGGTAGTGGGGCGTGGAGAGAAAGTCCGGAGACGCACGGGAGGGCCACGCTTGCCCCGCAGACCTGAAGCGTCGCCACCGGCAGGGGACGCAGGGCAAAGGACGCAGAGCACAGAGCGCTGGGCACAGGACACCCAGCACAGGGCACCAAGCGCAGGGCACCCAGCACAGGGCGCAGGGCACAGCTTTAACACTCAGAGCGCAGGGCCGAGCTCAGGGCCGCGGCGCCTCGTGGGGCTGGGGCGCCAGGGTCTGAGTTCAGACCCGAGGCCCAGGGCGCCGTGGGCCGGCGGCCAGCGACCTGCCCTCCAGATCTGCAGGACACTGCGCGTTCTGAACGCGCCAGGCAGCTGGAGAATTTAATCGCTGCAGGCCACTTGGGAGCACCGTGGGTGCAGGAGACACGCGGTGTGAGTAGTGGCGGGTCACCACCGCAAAGCCTGGAAATAGTCAGCCAGTCAAATCAGTGGAAAAAATCAGCTTTTGTTAGATTTTGCAGTTTCAGGAATTAGACACTCACTGCAGAGCTGCAGTTTTGAGAAATTGCAATGTCAGACGCGTTCCCAGTGGGGAAATATTGTGAGTGTGGAGAAACGTGAGATCGGGCTGACAATGGGGAACTGACAGGAGTCATCACCCAGACCCCGCCTCCTCCCCAGCACCCCGGAAACGCCAATGAGCCATGTTATTTGGGCCTAGCAGGTACAGTGGCACTGCCGGCAAGGGTGTTTTAGTCCTACGTGTGGAGCTAGGTAGGACAGCCCTGACCCAGTCGAGCAATGTACAGGTGCTTTGTGGGTGAATAACACCTGTACTGCAGGATAGTGACAATATCAAGATAGACTAAGAAAAAAAATCCAAAGCCTAGCACAGCCTTATCTAGAAGTAACAGACAGGAGCAGTGCGGGACTCCTCAGCCTCCCGTTAGTGGAAAGCAGGAGACCCCAACTCTGCCTCAGTGAAGGCCTTTGTGCCACAGACTGGGCTGGTGTGGGAAG